GCCGGCTGGGGCTCGGCTGGCCGGGGCTCGCTGACGCGGGGGGGCGGCGTCGGTGCCCAGTTCTTCACTCGGCGCTTCAGCTTCCCCCAGGACACCTGGCTGGCATACTCGCGCCACCTGTCGGCCTTGGAGGGCGGTGGCGGGTCTTCGACCACAGGCACCGGCACCCCCACGCGGCGGCGGATGGTGGGGGCGCTGGGCTTCTTCTCGCCCCGCCGCAGGTAGGCCTGCACCACCTCCTCGTCGTCCTCGCTCTCCACGTCGCTGCCCAGAAACTTGCTGCCCAGGTAGCTGACGGGCATTCTCCGCACCCTCCGGGTCCGCCCGCCGCGGCTGCGGCGGCGGCCGGCCTTCTCCAGCGCGGTCTCGAAGTCGCTGAGGTCGCTGTCGCTGGCATTGCTGCTATCGTAGGTGCCCACGACCAGCCGGGGCGGAGGCGTCACCATCAGCGGGACTCTCCGGTGCACTTGTGGGACCTTGGGCTTTTTGGGGGGCTGGGGCGGGTGCGGGGTGCTCTTCTCGATAATCCGGGCCACGTCTTCTAGGGTGCGGCCCTCTTCCTCCAGAAACTGGGTCAGGCGCTCGCGAAATACCACCTCCTTGGTAGCGGGCTTGGACATGACCCTCCACACGCCCCCGGCCAGCCAGATCTGGCGGGGGATGAGCAGGTGATCCACGTCGTCGCCGATCTGCAGCATGCCCACCGTGGAGTCCACCTCGCGGCGAAACACCTTCCCGATCTTCTTGAAGGTGCCCACGGGCTTCAAGGCTTCCACGAGGAGGTCCAGATCGACGTCTTTGCAGACGTCCGGGACGCTCCAGAGGATCAGGTTATCCGGCGACGGCAAGAAACCCCAGGGGAACCAGCCCCCCACATGGCTCTTCTCGAGGGTCTTCAAGATCTCCAGGGTGGAATCCGGGGTGGTGGGCCCAGGAGCCCCAACGACACGCAGAACCCGGGTCCTCAACTGGCCAGCGAGGGACGAGCCGCCGCCGCCGCCGCCGAAGCGCCACCTCCCGCTTTCTCGGTCTGCAGCGAGGCCAGCGGGGGCCAAATTCGGGGCTCCGCCACGGCCGTGGGGTGCAGGAAAAGTCCCACGAGGCTTACGCGAGCCGGCGAGGGTGGGTGGTCAGTGGCGAGCCTCCGAGCCCCGCGTCCCAGCTGGAAAGCCGTTCCGAGTTGGGGGTCCACGCGGTGGTTCGCCGGATCGCCCCGGGGGTGGCTGCTACTTGCAAGCTCCTTCCCAGACAAAGCCCGGCTATTCAATATGGCCGAGGCGCTGGGCGACTGCGGTCCGGCCCCCCTGGAGGGTCTCCCGCCCCCAGGCAGGCTGCCACCCCTGCAGGCTGACCTTGACGCGTGCGCGCCCACAGGCAGGAAGTACCTCCTCGCCCGCCCGCCCGGGTGGAGACCCACCTACCCCCTTCTCGGTTTACACGGAAGACTGACAGGGGGGCTGTCCACTCCCTTCCAGGCGGCCTCTCTCCCCTCCCCCGCCTGGGTGTGGCCGCGCCCCCTGCCGAGCTGGGGCCACTCGCTCCCCGGCGCAGAGGCGCCGAGGCCCACGTCAGCACCTTTCCCGAAAGGCGGTCCCTTCCCAAACCTGCCTTCTGGAAGGTGTCGCTTCCAGCTGGACCCGCAGAGGCGCGTCGGCTAAGCGGGTAGCCCCTTGGATGCCCGTATCTCCAATGCCCGCGATGCGCGGGGCGCCCCATTCCTTACGCATCCACCCAATTCATACAGGTTGGTGGAAAGGTGGGTTCGCGGTCGCGAGCCGGCTGCCCGCTGTTGGATCGCACCCATGATCCTTTGCAGCGCCAAGGTTGCGATCCGTCCGGTCTTAGCGGCCAGCTTGTGCAAACGGATCGCCCGGGTCTCAGGTCCCAGCGCGCCTTAGCCCGAACGTCAGGAGCACATTTGTTCGGCAGCGTGGCAAACGACGGGTGGGGGTGGCCATCGGCCGGATCCCGTTGGTGCACATTCCAGGTGGACGGAGTGGAACGGCTCCAAGCGATGTCCAAGGCTGTGACCTTTCCAGAGAAGCTCTCCCGGCCCCCTCCTCCATCGGAGGTGCTAGCCCGGTGGTCTCGAACCAACAACCTTTAGGTTAGCAATGGGGCACAAACCCTTTGTGCCAGCCCATAGACTGTTGACTGTTCTAGGTTCCGCCTTGGGCTGCTGACCGTAAAGTCAGCAGTTCGAATCCACCAGCCGCACCACGGGCGAGAGAGGAGACTGTCTACTTGAATAAAGAGTTACCACCCCGGAAACCCGCAGGGGCAGGTCTACCCTGCCCTGCACTGTTGCTATGTAAGAGTTGGAATCGACTCCACCGGTGAGTTTGTGTAGAAAAAATAGACTAAAGGAAACATTGCCCAAGCCTTTTGCTTCGGCTGCACAATTCTTTCGATGGCGGAGCCCAAACTCACCGCCATAGAACCCAGTCCTACAGGACAGGGTAGAACGGCCCCCTGGGGGTTCCAGACATTAAGTCAGCGGTCCTCAACCTGTGGGTCGCTACCCCTTTGGGGGTCGAACGACCCTTTCCCAGGGGTTGCCTCAGACCATCGGAAAACACATATTTCCGATGGTTTTAGGAACTGAGCACCGCTCCTCAATCCGTCTCCAGGCGGGTCCGCCCACATGCAGATACTCCCATGTACACGTGTCCGATGTAAAGACTGTAACTCATGCTACACCATGCTGCTAGACAAAATTTCATCGTCGTTAGAAATAAATATTCACGACATATCATTACATATTGTTTTTGTGATGAATCACTGCTTTATGTTCAATTTGTAACAATAAAAATACATCCTGCAGATTAGATAGTTAACGTGACGATTCATCACAGTAGCAAAATGACAGTGATGAAGTAGCAGCGAAAATAACTTTACGGTTGGTGGTTGCCACAACATGAGGAACTGTATGAAAGGGTCCCGGCATTAGCAAGGTTGAGAACCACTGCTTTAAATCTTTAATCGACTCAAACAGCCTCTGATGGATTTGAACCAATGGCCTTATGGTTGGCAGCTCAATGTATAACCCACCACACCAACAGAACTGCCTAGTTACTTTATACAGTGAAACCTATGACCTTCAGAACCCAGTGGGGACTGCCTTGTTTTTCTGGCTCTGGCACAAGTCTTCAAAAAAGCTCCAACCTTGACTCATAGTGACCCTGTAAGTCAGAGTAGAACAGCCCCTGTGCATTTCCAAGAATGTAACTCTTTTTTTGAAAGTTTTTGGGCACATCATCCACATACCATACAATTCAACAATTCAATCATATCAACAAGAGTTGTGCAGCCATTACCACAATCAACTTCAGGGTAGTTTCTTCCTGCGTCTACTCCTTGTTCTTAGCTCCCCATCTCCCCAACACCGCCACAGCTAGACCCGCAAGAAACCGTTCATCCAGTCACGGTCTCTATAGGTTTACCGATCCTCAATTTCATTCCATAGCTAGAAAAACAAACACACAAAAACAAACGCAACAAACCAACAACAGTAACGGGAAAACCTCTCTTGAAAAGAAAGTAGGAAACAGGGAAAACTAGGACACATTTGAAATGGGTCAAAGGTGTTCCATTTTAACCTAGCTGCATCTGCAGGAATCCACTTGGAACGCTATCTTCCTAAGAGCCAGCCTCTTGACATCCCTGGCCTGTGGTCAGAGCGGATTCACTGGAGGCTTAATTCACAGACATCTTCCCTTCAAAACGGAAACCAGTTTTAAATGGGTTAAAAGGAGATCAAATGATGATGCTACATTTTAACCTAACCAGATCTGTCAGAAGAATTGATGTGTTCGAATGGTGGTGCTGACCAAGAACATTGCAAGGACCGTGGGCTGCCAAAAGAACAAACAGGTCTGTCTTGGAAGAAGCACCTCCGTGGTGCTCCTCAGAGCCAAGGATGGCGAGACGTCCACCTTACATACTTTGGGGGTGTCAGAAGAGAACAGTCCCTGGAGAAGGACATCATGCTTGGCGCAGTGGAGGACAACCTACATGCCATAATCTACCATACAGTGCTGTCC